CAAAGGTTCACAAAAAATATATTCATTTATTTCCCCGAAAAGTAATAAGACCAAAGTGCTCGTTTCCAAGGCGCCTGCAATAGTCCTGTAGCCACCACACAAAACAGGGTGGAGCTACACCCAGTCTCCAGATGAAACAACCAAGGCTCTGAGAGGCTAAGTAAAAGATTTTTCTGTGTCGCTGGCAGAACCGGGATTAAATCTAAACTGGTGCAGCAGCACCATAATGCTTTTATATTCATAAAACATAAATTCCAAACATCTAAAATCTCTTCCCTGTGGAGTATAACGGCCCAAGGTTGAAGGACCTTTCAGAGGATTCTACACAAACTCAACATGTAACCTAGACATTGTGCCAGACTGGCTCAGTAATAAAGACTAGGGCTCAAAAAACAATAAGAACAAGAATTGGACCTTATGCGAAGTAAACCTGAACTGTTTATCCAGTGAAGAATATTGTTTATTCCTATGCAGACTCATCTGGCCTTGCAGCTCGAACCAAGAAACGATAGGGGAAGAGCCTGGGGACAGAATCCCGCCCCAATTAGTCAGTCATACTTTAATCACTAAAGTTGGTGGGGCTTGGTGGTACAGTGGTAGCACACTTGCTTCCGTGTCAGTAGGTTATATGTTCAAAGCATATTAGCACTGTGAAAACTGTATGTTTTTGGCATTTACCTGAGATTTGTATGGGTTATTTAGAATCGCCCGGGTCTAATGATACATATAGAAAAATTAGAGCATCTTAGTTTATGTTTTATTTTGTTTTTTACCGTTATAGGAAAGCCTCCATCTGAGATGGACCAATAACAAAGAAAGAAGTGGAGGTAAAGGAAAGGAAGTGAGAGGAGGGAAGGGGAGGGCAAGAATCAGGGAAAGAGGGGGGAGGAGAGCGAAGGGAAGAGAAGGGCAAAATCATCGTAGTTTTTATGATCTTTCCCTGAAATTTGAATTCTCTTCTAAAAATAGAAGTTTGGAACTTTAAATTTTCATCTCAATGTTTCTGTCACTCTATTAAGAATAATGCCACGTTAATCCCATAGCTACTCTAACATAGAAATTGTTTTTATAGGAACCCGAATTCTTGTTCAGAACATATACTTGGAGCAATAGCTATTCTTTATTAAAAATAATGTAACAAAAAATATTAGATGTAGACATACCATAATACAAATATTAGATCATAGTCCTTGTTATTATAATTTTTTTGAGAAATCACTGGCATATATCACTGAATATTTTTCAGGTATATAGAACAATGGTTTGGTTTCCATATATTGTCAAATTATCACAATAGGCTCAATAAAAAGCCATCTTCTCACATAAATATTTAAAAAATAAATAATAAAGGAAAATTCTTTTATGAAGATCACCAAGAAGGGAGAGAGAAAGGAAGGAGAGAGGAAGGAAGAGAGGGAAGAGGAAGGATAATAAGAGAAGGGGGGAAGGAAGGGAGGAGTAGGAAAGGGAAAGAAAGAGAAGGGAAGAGAAGGAAAGGAAAGAGAAAGGAAGGGGAGGAAAAAGAAGGAAGGAAAATGGAGAGATGGGAAGAGGAGGAAGATCCAGGCCTGGCACCCCATAGATCTTTCCCAGTGGAAAGTTACTTCCATGACATCACTTTCCTTGAATAACAACACTTTTCTTGGTATTTCAGGCTTTAGCAGCTGGTGAGGAAGTCAGATGGTCTCCTAACAAGACACATAGCAGACACTTGGCAGGCTGAAATCAGAACCCAGTGACTCCTCTACCTTGGCCCCCTGACCCCTGCCTACCTTTAGCCAGAGCAGTAACTGTGTCACCTGCAGGCATCAGCTCTCATAGAGGCAATGTGTGCTGATGATTTACAAGACTACCATAGCCTCCTAAGGAGTCCTGGTTACCTAACTAGTAAGGCACGCCATGCTAACAGTTGCCAATCCTTCTCCCACTCCTGGCCACACACATCATAGCACCTGCAAGGAGATGCAAAATAGTAAGCAGCACTCTAGCACTGTCCTCCCGTTGTTCATCCAATTTGTTCGAGCGGGCACCAGTAACATCTCCATTGTGAGACTTATTGTTACTGTTTTTGGCATACGCCAAAAATAGTTACTGTTTTTGGAATACGCCACAGGGAGCTTGCCAGGCTCTGTCGTGCAGGAGAGATACTCTCAGTAGCTTGCCAGGCTCTTCCAGAGGGACAGAGGAATCAAACCCAGGTGGGTCCCGTGCAAAGCAAACGCCCTACCTGCTCAAAAAAAAAAAGTTTTGTTTTTTTTTTTTGCATTTTGGGTTACACCTGGTGATACACAGGGATTACTCCTAGCTCATGCACTCAGAATTACCCCTGGCGCTGCTGCTCGAGGGACCATATGGGATGCTGGGAATTGAACTCGGGTTGGCCACATGCAAGGCAAATGCCTACCTGTTGTGCTATTGTTGCAGACCCCAAATTAAAATTTTTATCTCGGAATCAGAGCATAGTGCAGCAGGTAGGGCACTTGCTGACCTGGGTTCAATTTCTGGCATCCCATATGGTCCCCTAAGCCCATCAGAAGTGATCCCTCAGCAGCACTAGGTGTGGCCCCCAAACAGTTAAATACCAATACCCTGCCCACTCACCTCCCTGACCCTGTTCATTTACCTGCCTTTTTCCGTCAGACACAATAGTAATTTTTAAATTTTATCCTTAAGCTGACATTATAGAAGATCCATTTTGAAAGATGAGGAGATAGCTCAAATGTAAGAGCACTTGCCTAGCATGTGTGAGGCCCTCAGATTGAGCCCCAGAATGTCCAGGGTATAGGCTGGGCTGAGGGTGATCACTGTGAAAAATAAAATAAAAGAAGATCCTCTATAAGCACGGCTGAGGCCCAGTAGTATATTAACAATGGTGAGGGGTGATCATGGTGAAGCTGCTAAGGGCTACTTGTGTGTCTGTGTTTAAGTTGCACTTACACCTACCAGCAATCAACTAGAGTTGAATTTTGCCTGTCCCTTTCAAACATTCAAGCATGTATTTGCCCTTTTCTGCACTCCCACCAATGAAACAGATCTTCAGTGATCTTAGTCATTTTTTCCTCAAGTGAAACAAATCTGGTTTATTGAAAAAAATGAATAAAATAAATAAGAATCTAAGAAAAAAAAAAGGACACAAATAAATCATCTTAGTCTTATTTAGCCTAACTCACCCTAGTCCTAGTCTATATCCTGAAAATTTAGTATTTTAAAGCGGTTTAGATTTTTAGTAGAGATTGCATAATTAGTTTTCATCCACCCCTTTTCCATCCACCTGCATAGCAACTACGTTAAAATACAAAAACTACTGACTTAAAAGCCTATATAACTAGGCGTAGAAATAAGTCAGCGGGGCTGGAGTGATAGTATAGCAGGTAGGGCATTTGCTTTGCATGTGGCCAATCTGAGTTCAATCCCCAATATCCCATATGGTACCCCAAACCTGCCAGGAATGATTCCTGAGCACAGAGCCAGGAATAACTCCCTGAGCATTGCCCGATGTGACCCAAAAACAAAACAAACAAAAAGTCAGAACCCTGAATACATGAATACAAAACCTTGGTGGGTATCCACAGGTCTCAGGGTCTACAAGTGAGCAGCAAGATGTCGAGATGCTATAATAAGGAAATAGGGGAAGCCAGTGCTGTAAGATTCTCCATAAGGGATATTAACTTTTCTGCCAACATAAATAACAAAATACTCAGTTATCAGGGATACTAACGAAAAGAATCTCATTTTTTTCTGGCTCTGCGCTCAGGGATCACTCCGGGCAGGGCTGGAGGGGACCATATTGTGTGCTAGGGATCAAACCTGGGTCAGCTGGAAGCAAGGTATGCGTCCTGCATCCTGGACTCTCTCTTTCTCTGGTCTCTATGGTGAGTGTATTTTATGAAATGTCTCAAGTATTAAAAATACTTCTAAACCATGTGGAACTACTTGCTTACCCAAATGTTAACACATTTTGCCCAATTTGTTTTAAAATTCTTATGAAACAAAAGATATATACACCTAAAGCTCTGCTATAAAATTTCAAGAGAAACAGTTTCAAGTATAGTACCCTCCTCTTATGACTTCCCCATTCAAGTTCAGCTTTCTGAGGTTTCCTTTATTATTATTGTATTATCATTCTAAAATATTATATTCAATAAAACATTTTGAAAGAACATCCAAATAATTTTATTACAGTATGTGGCTGTGATTACTTTATTACTGTTAGTTATCTCTTAATAAGTGCCTACTTTTCGAGCCAACATTTGTCTCAAGTATGGAAAAGGGAGAAAACAGGTGTTTTGGGTTTGGTATTTTCCCTCATCTCAGACATTCACAGGGGACTACTTGTTGAGCCGAGTATTAATCCGGGTCGGGAGCGTGCACGGCAAACGCCTTACCCGCTGGACTCTCTCCAGTCTCCAAATACGCTTACAATTTAAATGAAATATGCCGATAGCGAACTTGTTATTCTGAGATCAAGAACTTCCCGAACGGGACGTGAAGGCGACACCCTCGATCCCGCATCTTCTATCGGGCGGCCGCGTAGCCACGTCTTGGGACGTCAGCCAATGGGAGCCGGACGCAGCGCGCGCTCGACCAATGGGGCCAGGGCGGGAGATTTGAAAAGGCGTCGGCCGTGGCGGACCCCGCAAGTGAGTCGTTCGCGGGCGGCCAGACTGTGCTCGCGTCCAGGTGAGCTGGCCCTTGGCGGGCCATCGGCTGGGAGAGGACCGGCCGTCAGCCTCGTCGGGACCCGCTGGGCGTGACCGCGCGCATTTCCAGGGCTGCTGGACTTTCCGCGGCGGAAACGGCCTCGGAGAGGGTTGGGGCCGTCACGGAGCCGGCGGCTCGGGGCCGCGCCGAGCTTCCGGATGCCCCTTGCGTGGTGATGAGCCTCTTGCTCCGGCCCCAGGCTGGCATTCCCAGCGACACGGGTGCGACTCCCCTTTCTTTGTCTGCTTCTTATGTTTATTCCCTTTTTTCTCCAGCAACCCGCCCCCATCCCTGCAAGGATGGCTCAGAAGGAGAACGCCTACCACTGGCCCCTAGGCCAGCAGACGGTAAGGACTTCCCGCGTCCCCCGCCCCCATCAGCCCGTCAGTTCCTGTGTGGAGCGTTAAAGTCTTGCCCAGGGCCTTCCTTCCTAGGCTTCCCATCAGTGCTCCGAAGTATAGGCCCTAGAAGTTTCCTGGCAGAATCCGGTCTTGTCATTTTCTGCCGCATCCGGTCAGGAGCTTCCAAATTTCATCTTCATCAGGAACTCTGAAAGTGGGACCGCTAGTCATATACAAGGATATTGAGCAGGCAGGGTCTAGCCTTCTAGTTGTCCTGACACTTTCACTAGTCCTGACACCTTTCATCAATGTCTACCTTTGAATTTGCTGTGCCACCTTTCCTATTTCTGTACTCTTGTTCCACGAGTTTACTTATGAATTTTGCATAAATGTCACTGTTTGGGAACAGTTTTTCAGGAGTACTAAGGCTTTTTCTTCCTCATGTGCCTCTCACAGCCTTAGGGATCCTGGAGGATCCACATGCCCATTATTCACCATCTTCTGCCTCATGGAAGAGGCGTATAAAACTGCCTCTGCGTAAGTCTCTGTGTAAGACTGTCAAGAGCTGAACTGGAGTGATAGCCCAGTGGGTAGGTCAGTTGTACACAGCTCACCTGGATTCAGTCTCCCACACTCCATGTGATCCCCTGGACACTGCCTGAATGCAGAGCCAGGAGCCAGGATTAAGTCCTGAGCATCACTGGGTATGGCCCAAACACCAAAAAAAAAAAAAAAAAAAGAGAAAGAAAAAAGTTGTAAGGGGCTGGAGTGATAGCACAGCACGTAGGGCATTTGCCTTGCATGCAGCCGGCCCAAGTTCGATTCCCAGCATCCCATATAGTCCCCTGAGCACCGCCAGGAGTGATTCCTGAGTGCAGAGCTAGGAGTAACCCCTGAGCATTGCCGGGTGTGACCCAAAAAAGCAAAAAAAAAAAAGTTGCAAAAGGAACCTTTGTCACTTTGTCACTCCCAATATTCACTCAGAAGTTGACTAGTCCCAGAGCACCTCCCATAGGATCCAGTACCCCGTCCCTAAAAGAAGATTTGTTGCAAAGAGGTACTGATATTTGCTGTAACATTCCAAGGACCTAAGCCATAATAGTTGAGCTTTTAAACGGACATGGAAAATGTTTCTGTGCTATAAATCCCTTAAATTGTGGGTGGTAATATAATATTATTCTGACCTCTACTGCCACTTTGGGTGGGGAAACGAATATGCTATTATGGATGATGATAAAATTGGACAGTTTTGTGACTGAGAATGTATGGGCCAGGGCCAAAGAAGTGGGACATGAAGTGGTTCTTTCACGGGGGCTGGAGCGATAGCATAGCAGGTAGGGCGTTTGCCTTGCATGCGGCCCACCTGGGTTCAATTCCCAGCATCCCATATGGTCCCCTGAGCACCACTAGGAGTAATTCCTGAGTGCAAAGCCAGGAGTAACCCCTTTGCATCGCCAGGTGTGAGCCAAAAAGCGCAAAAAAGAAAAAAAAGTGGTTCCTTCAGTCCTGTTATCTATTAAGGACCCATTTTATTTTTTCCCAATTATTGAATTATCATGAAATATAGTGACAAAGTCATTCATGCTTGTTTCAGTTATACAATGTTCAACACCCAACCCCTCACCTCTGTACATTTCCCACAACCAGTTTTCTTCCCACCACAACCCCGCCCCCTTCTGCCTCTATGGCAGACTCCTCTCTCTCCCCCTTCCTCTCTTTTTCTCTCTCTTTCCTTTCAGGCACGGTGGTTTGCAATACAGGTACTGCAACATTATGTATATCACTTTACCTCCATTTAGCATTTAACTCTTATCCAGAGTGCTCATTTCCAACTATCATTGTTACAGTTATTCCTTCTCTGTCCTAACTGCCTTCTCCCTCCCACACATACCCCACCACTTGTGGCGAACGTCCAACCATGGACCAGTCATTCCTGGCCCTTGTTTCTACTGTCTTTGGGTATATTATGTCTCATATTATGTTTTTTATATATCCCACAAACGAGTGCGATCATTTAATGTATGTCCCTCTTCTTCTGACTGATTTCACTCAACATGTCCATCCATGTGTAAGAAAATTTCATGACTTCATTTTTCCTAGCTGCTGCATAGCATTCCATTGTATAGATGTACCATAGTGTCTTTATCCATTTTGTCTGTCCTTGGTCACTCAGGTTGTTTCCAGATTCTTGCTATTGTGAACAGGGTTACAGTGAACATAGGCATGCAGATGCCTTTTCTGCAGTGTGTATTTTGGCCATAGGATTTACTCCCAGGAATGGTATTGCTGGGTCATATGGAAGCTCAATTTCTAGTTTTTTGAGGAATGCCCTGTTGTTTTCCAAAAAGGCTATACCACTTGGCATTCCCACCAGCAATGAATGAGACTCCCTTTCTCCCACATCCACACCAGCTCTGGTTGTTCTTGTTCTTTTTCATGTGTGCCAGTCTCTGTGGCATGAGATGATATCTCATTGTGGTTTTGATTTGCATCTCCCTGATTATTAGTGATGTAGAACATTTTTTCATGTGTCTTTTGGCCATTTGTATTTCTTCCTTGAGGAAGTTTCTGTTCATTTCTTCTCCCCACTTTTTGATGGGTTTGAATTTTTTGCTTGCTTGTTTGTTTTTGCTTTTTTTTGGGGGGGGCGGTCACACTTGGCGATGCACAGAGGTTACTTCTGGCTCATGCACTTAAAAATTATTCCTGGCAGTGCTCAGGGGATGTAGAGCACTTTTTTTTCTTTTTGGGTCACACCCGGCAATACACAGGGCTTACTCCTGGCTCATGCACTCAGGAATTACCCCTGGCGGTGCCCGGGGGACCATATAGGATGCTGGGAATCGAACCCGGGTCGGCCACATGAAAGGCAAATGCCCTACCCGCTGTGCTATCACTCCAGCCCCTGTAGAGCATTTTTTCATGTGTCTTTTGACCATTTTTATTTCTTCCTTGAGGAAGTTTTTGTTCATTTCTTCTCCCCACTTTTTGATGGGTTTGGATTTTTTGTTTGTTTTCTTTTTTTTGTTTTTGCTTTTTTGGGGGGTCACGCTTGGTGATGCACAGGGCTTACTCCTGGCTCATGCACTCAGGAATTACTCCTGCTGGTGCTCGGTGTATGCAAGGCAAACGCCCTACCTGCTGTGCGATCTCTCCAGCCCCTCGGTTTTCTTTTTTATAAAGTTCTATCAGTGCCTTATATATCTTGGATATTAACCCCTTATTGGATGAGAGTTGGGTAAATAATTTTTCATATTCTGTGGGCTGTCTTTGTATCCTAGTCACCATTCCCTTTAAGGTGCAAACAGTTACAAAGCTTTCAGGTTTAAGTCTCAGTCATACAGTGATCAAACACCCATCCCCTCACCAGTGCACATCTTCCCCCAACATTCAGACATGCCAAAAAGGCATCATTATATAATTTGTTTTCTATTGTTGATAATGAAGAGTATATTGGATTTCTGATAGTTTAGTAATTCAGTCCGGAGGGATTTCTGCCGGAAGCCACTGGGTTCCGAGATTGGTCTTTGTGCCTCTGGGATCATGGCCATTCAGGAGCCAGAAGAGCCATTTGTGGCCGGCAACTTGGGGTCTTAATGGGGTGGAAAAAGGGCTGGTTTCATCCCCCATCCCATGAGACCCCGCGTGTCTCGTCACTGCAGGCGCGTACCTCTTAGTCCAATAGGCTCTGAAAGATGGAGGTCACCATGGCACTGAGGGGAAGAATAAGGAGGGGACAACGCCTTCTCCCCCACTCCGCTGCAGCATGGAGTCTTAGCTTAATTCAGAAGCATTCTGCCATTAAACTTACTACATTAAACTAAGAAGCTTTGGGGCTGGAGCAGTAGCACAGCAGGTAGGGCGTTTGCCTTGCATGCGGCCAACCCAGCATCCCATATGGTCCCCCAAGCACTGCCAGGAGTAACCCCTGAGCATTGCTGGGTGTGACCCAAAAAGAAAAAACAAACAAACAAAACTAAGAAGCTTCTTAGTTTAATGTAGTAAGAACCCAGTTTAATACAGGATAATGTAAAGCATCTTAGGGCCAAGTAGCAAAACTGTGGTCTCTGTTCCTCTGAACTGGGAATAAGTGCGTGGGCGGTTCTATGACAAGTGCTGAAATGCTACTTGCAGCACATTCCAAAACCATCTTGGTGACAAAGGCAACCAAATGTTCCCTGCCCCTTCTCAGTCTCTCTCTGGCCTGAACACCCTGCCCCAGAGAGTCCTCCGGAAGGAAACTACCACCTCATCTGCGCTTGTCCTCATGAACCGCTCCAATGCCCGGCCCACAGGTAATGGGGGGGGGGAGGGATTACTCTCAGAGGACTAGAGTCTGAGGGAGGTTACTGGGATTAAAATGTCATAGGAGGGGCTAGAGCAATAGTTCAGCAGGCATGGCATTTGTCTTGCACATGGCCAACTTGGGTTTGACCCAGCAGCCCATGTGGTCACCTGAGCACCTCCAGGAATGATCCTGAGTGCCAAGCCAGGAGTAAATTCTGAGCACTGCCAGATGTGGCCCCCAAAAAACAAAAGTCAAAAGAGGGACCAGCAGGAATTAAGGCTATACTTGCATACACTTGCTTGCAGTTAACTCTGGTTTGATTCTCTGTCACCACATATGGTTCCTCAAGCACTTCCAGGAGTGGGCATAGAGCCAGATATAGTCACCCTGAGCACCTCTGGGTGACCCAAAAAGCAAAAAAAAAAAAATTGTGTAAAGAGAGCCTCAATTTATCTACCTTCTCCTTAGCTGCCCAAGGCCAGAAGGCGGAGGAGAGCAGCAGTGGGACATCCAACTTGATTAAGTAAGTGCCAAGCTTTGGGGTAGCAGGGGTTGGGGAAGGACAGTAAGAAAGTAGGAAGTGAGGGAGGAGCTAAAGGAGTGAGTAGGGAGGGGGTTAAGAGAACCTGATCCATCCTAAATTCTCAAGAATGATGGGGGTGAGGGAGCAGGAGAGAGCAAGCTCCTCAAATGCCTTACCAAGGGCCGGAGAGATAGTAAAGCGGCCAGGGCGCTTATCCTGCCTGCTACTGATCTGGGTTCACTCCCTGACCTCCCATATGGTCTGTCCTCCAAGCACTGCCAGAAGTGATTTCTGAGTGCAGAGCCAGGAGTAACCCCTAAGCATCGCTGCGTGTGCCCCCCAAAACAAAACAAAAATGCCTCGCCCTGTTGCACTCAGCTGACTTTCTCCACTTTCTACTTAGACGCAACTTCACAATTGACAACTTTGAGATTGGGCGTCCCCTGGGCAAAGGCAAGTTCGGAAATGTTTACTTGGCTCGAGAGAAGAAAAGCCATTTCATCGTGGCGCTCAAAGTCCTCTTCAAGTCTCAAATAGAGAAGGAGGGCGTGGAGCACCAGCTACGCAGGGAGATCGAGATCCAGGCCCATCTGCAGTACGGGCTCATTCCCCCCGATCCCCTCTGCTCCCTCCCCACCTCCGGCCTCAGTCCCACTCAACAGCCACCCTTCTCTGTATCTGTGCCACTTAACCCCCTGAGTCTTGTTCAGAGTCTGAAATCCAGAGCGATCTTGTTTTCCCTCATCACTGCCACCCCAGTACATCACCTGCCACCCCACCCCTGCCCCCAGGCCCCACCTGGTCCAAGTGTGACTGTCATCTGTCCCATTTCCTTATGCTAGGGTACAGCCTGAGGCCTCCTCTGTCTCTTCTCCAGGCATCCCAACATCTTGCGGCTCTACAACTATTTCTATGACCGCCGAAGGATTTACTTGATCCTGGAGTATGCGCCCCGGGGGGAACTCTACAAGGAGCTACAGAAGAGCCGTACTTTTGATGAGCAACGAACAGCTACGGTCTGGGCAGGGGGCACTGGGTTGGGGGCCGCAGGGATTGGGTAGTGAGGTTGGGGTGTACTGTCTGCATTCTCATCGACTGCCTCTGGTTGGCCCCACTAGATCATGGAGGAGCTGGCAGATGCTTTGATCTACTGCCATGGGAAGAGGGTGATCCACAGAGACATAAAGCCAGAGAACTTGCTCTTGGGGCTCCAAGGAGAGCTAAAAATCGCCGACTTTGGATGGTCTGTGCACGCTCCTTCCCTGAGGTATGGTGGGCCAGGACTTGGGGTAAGGTTGGGACATTCACAGTAGTACCACTCTAGGGCCAGGGAAATAGTTCCCTCCTGCCGCCTCCCCCACCACCCCCATCCCCACCAGTGGTGCTCAGAGGTTGCTCCTAGCTCTGCACTCAGGAATTACTCTTGGTGGTGCTGGAGGTCATATGGGATGCCAGGGATCGAACCCTGGACAGCCACATGCAAGGCAAAGCGCCCTGCCCACTGAACTCTCACTTGGGTCCCAAACGTCATTTTTAATGACTTCATTGTATTATGTAACCTGATTTATTTAGCAGGACATGCTCCAGGATACTCAGGATGTCCCCAAGTTTTTCTTTCTGAGAGTTAACCTTATATCAGATTTTTGTTTTTGGTTTGGCTTTGGGCCACACATGGCAAAGCTCAGGGTTTACTTCTGGTTCTGTGCACTCCTGACATGCTCAGGGGATCATACGTGGTACTGGGATGGAGCCCAGTTAGCCCTGTCCAAGACAAGAGCCCTGCCTACTTTTCTATCTCTCCAGCCTCCTCCCCATCATTTTTAATGGCTTCATGGAATTGTGTAATTGCAAGGCCCTATTGGAGTCTTATTGGGACATTCTCATGTATCCTGGGTTCCCTTGGCTCAGAAAACAGACCTTGGGAGTTCCTGTCCATTTCTCCCACCTCACCAGGAGGAAGACCATGTGTGGCACCCTGGACTACCTTCCCCCAGAGATGATTGAGGGACGCACCCACAACGAGAAGGTGGATCTTTGGTGCATCGGAGTACTCTGCTATGAGCTGCTGGTGGGAAACCCGCCCTTCGAGAGTGCTTCACACAATGAGACGTACCGACGTATCGTCAAGGTGACAGCCCCAGTCCAGCAGGGTCTTTGTGTTGGTTATAGAGGCCAGAGCTGGGAGCTGCAGAATCCGGTGTTACTCTCCAAATAGAATGGACAAGAAAAAAGAAGTTCAAATAAACCTAACGGTGTCTTCCTTTCTCTACTTCTGCAGGTGGACTTGAAGTTTCCCGCTTCTGTGCCTGCAGGAGCCCAGGACCTCATCTCCAAGCTTCTCAAGCACAACCCTTCCGAACGGCTGCCGTTGGCCCAGGTTGCAGCCCACCCTTGGGTCAAAGCCCACTCTCGGAGGGTGCTGCCTCCCTCTGCCCTTCATTCTGTTCCCTGAATTGTCCCCGTCATTTACTCAGTTGTCCCCATGTTTGTTCATGTATATGTGTTGGAAGGAGGGGGCCCTGGCCTCTTCCCCTTTTCTGTCTTCTACCTCCTTTTTATTTAATAAAAATTCAAGCTTTTTTATTGCTGAGTACAGGAAACTTGGCTATGGAGCAAATGCCCCTCTGTAGGAAGGAGGCTGTACTATTACTGCGGCCCCCAAACTGAAACTTGGAAAACAGTTTGCACAGACGAGGGTTCCAGAGGCCTGGCTGGACAATACTGGCCCATGAAGACTGTAGTAGAAACCATTTGACCTCTAACCTCATTGATCTTTATTACAATGCTGAAACACGTACCCTCAGATGACAGTTCTCTGCCAACTTTTATGCATTTGATATATGTTCTTTGTTCCTCAATTCCTGTAAAATTGCTAGAATACTCATTCTATATATAATCCATAACATCTCTCTGCTGAGCATAAAACCAGAGCCCCTACTTCCTCTCTAAAGCTGTTCTCTGGTGTGTACTGTGGACATCCTTCCCATTTTTAATTGTTTTGTTGCCAATAAAGCCTGTCTTTTCTATTCCATTGTTCCTGTGCTTTTTCTAGGACAACACATGCCTTCATGCAGGAGGACTGGGTTGGATTCCTGGTACTGGTGCCAGAGCTCCATCAGGAACTGAGTCAAGAATAGCCCCTGCGGGGCTGGAGAGTTAGCACAGCGGGTAGGGCGTTTGCCTTGCACGCAGCCGACCCGGGTTCAATTCCCAGCATCCCATATGGTCCCCTGAGCACCACCAGGAGTAACTCCTGAGTGCAGAGCCAGGAGTAACCCCTGTGCATCACCAGGTGTCACCCAAAAAATAGAAAAAAAAAAGAATAGCTCCTGAGTCATGTGAGGTATGGACCCCCCTTCACTGTATCACTGTCATCCCATTGTTCATTGATTTGTTTGAGCGGGCGCCAGTAACGTCTCCATTCGTCCCAGCGCTGAGATTTTAGCAGCCTCTCCTTACTTGTCTTTCCCAATACTGCCGTATTGGAGGCTCTTTCAAGGTCAGGGGAATGAGACCCATTATTGTTACTGTTTTTTTTTTTTTATAATTTATTTCTTTATTGAATCCCTGTGGGAAAAGTTACAGAGCTTTCGGGTTTAGGTCTCAGTCATGTAAGTATCAAACACATTTCCCTTTACCAATACTTATTTTTAACCGCGAACCCCAATAGAACCCCACCTCCCACCCCTCCCAATTCCTGTGAGGCAGATGAGTTCTAGTTAATACTCTATCTACTTTGACTAGATACATTGTTTCGATAGAAGATGCACAATTATTGTTTAGAGTTTACGACCCCCCCCAATCAGATATGCTGAAACAGCGTTGTGAAATGATTTGCTTTCTACAGCTGGGTTTAAGAATTAAATGTTGTCACCCGGCCGCTATTGCGGCCGCGCGGTTTTGGATTTCTGCTGTTTCACTTATTAACCCTGGAAGTATTTCTATTAAAAGTTAGATAGTTACGAGATTGGTTTCTGTGCCCTGGAGTCGTGGCCGTGCCGGAGAGCCACTCGTGGGGGGCAGCTGGCGACCTCGGTGGGGCGTGGGGGATGGCCCACAAAGCCCCCCTTCCCATGAGGTCCCTGCCGCTCCCGCCAAGCCCGGCTCAAACCTGCTGTCCACAAGGCTCCCATGCGGTCGCCATCTTTCTTTCCAGAGAGGAGCGGCGGGCCAGTCAACACCCTTTCCCCTCCGGGCAGGCTTGGTGGCGCGGTTTAACACATAGTCCATTTGCTTTTCTGCTCCAAGCGGCTGGTTCTCTGTGCTAAGTCCTTGTGCCTCCGGGGCCGTGGCCGTGCCGGAGAGCCGCTCGTGGGGGGCAGCTGGTGACCTCGGTCGGGCGTGAAGGTATTGTTACTGTTTTTGGCATATTGAATACGTCACGGGTAGCTTGCCAGGCTCTGCCGTTGTGTGTATATATATATATATATACAGATATATATATATATATACACACACACACACACACATATATATACATATGTATATATATATATATTGTTGGGAAAGACGAGTAAGGAGTAAAAGTAAAGTAAAAGTACAGGCCCTCCCGTTGATCGTCGATTTGCTCGAGCGGGCCCAGTAACGTCTCCATTGGAGACTTTGTTGTTACTGTGTCTGGCATATCCAATATTCTCGGTAGCTTGCCGGGCTCTCTGAGAGGGGCGGAGGAATCGAACTCGGGTCGGCCATGTTGGCCGCTTGTAAGGCGAACGCCCTACCCGCTGTGCTATAGAGGCTGCTAAAATCTCAGGGCTAGGGGCTGGAGCAATAGCACAGCGGGTAGGGCGTTTGCCTTGCACGCAGCTGACCTGGGTTCGATTCCCAGCATCCCATACAGTCCCCGGCGAACCACCAGGGGTAATTTCAGTGTGCAGAGTCAGGAGTAAGCCCTGTGCATCACCAGGTGTGACCCAAAAAGCAAAATAAATTAATTAAATCTTAGGGCTGAGACGAGTGGAGACGTTACTGGCGCCTGCTCGAGTAAATTGATGAACAAAGCTATTACAGTGATATTACCAGAAAGGCTGAGAGTAAAACAGCAAAATTTAAAAATCCCTTGTTTTTTTTTAGTTTTGCTTTGTCTTTTGGGCCACACCCAGTGATGCTCAGGAGTCACTCCTGGCTTTGCGCTCAGGAATTATTCCTCAAAGTGCATGGGGGACCATACGGGATTCTGGAGATCAACCCAGGTTGGCCAAGTGCAAGGCAAACTTCCTACTTGCTGTACTATCTCTCAAAGTCCTAAAAATCCCTCATGTTAATAGGGAGTATAAATTTTTTTTTCAGGTTAAATTTCCATTTTTAGAAGCTCAATGTCCAATGTTTATATACACAAGTTTTTTTCTTTTCCATAGCAGGGATCAAACTCAGGGCCTCATACATGCAAGACATGCACTCTTGCACTCTACTATTAATTCATGTGTCTGGCCCTTTGTTCTAAGTTAATTTTTTTTTACCTTTTAAGTTAATTTTTTTAAATTGAATCACTGAGATATACCCTTATGAAGCTGTTCATGCTTAGGTTTTAGTCAAGCAGTGTTCCAACACCCATCCCTCCACCAGTGTACATCTCCCAGTACCAGTGTCCCCAGTTTCCCTCCCATCATCCCACCCCCTCCCTGCCCCCCAGCCTGCATCTATGGCAGGTGCTTTTCTTCTCTCCCTCTCCCTCTCCCTCTCCCTCTCCCTCTCCCTCTCTCTCCTTCCCTCCCTCTCTCTCCCTCCCTCCCTGACTCTCTCTTTTTCCACCATGCCCCCTCACTCTCTCACTCACTTTCTCTTTCTCCCTTTTGGGTATTGTGGTTTGCAACACAGATACTGAAAGGTTATCAGGGATGTCCTTTATCTACTTTTAACACTCAGTTCTTGTTCTGGCCTTTTCTTGTACAATTTTTTATTTTGTTTTTGGGCCCTATTTGGCTGTGCAGAGGTCCCTCTGCTCTTAGGGAACACTCTTGGCAGGGCTGATCACTCTTGAAGGGGCTTCGGGGACTATATGGGATGCCAGGGATCAAATGAGGGTCAGCCACATGCAAGGCAAGCACCCTACCCACTGTACTATAGCTCCATCACACTTGTACTTTTTTTCTTTTTGAGTAGGGGCCACACCCAGTAGTGCTTAGGGCTTCCTCCTGGCTCTGCACTCAGGAGTCACTCCTGGTAGTGCTCTGGGACCATACAGGGTCCCAGGGAATGAACCCAGATTGACCGTGTGCAAGAAAACAACCTACCCATTGTGCTATCGCTCCCTCCCCCGTACACAATTTTTTTCTTGAGTCAACATTCTTGTATTTAAGCAAAGTAAAACCATTTTATTGAGAGAGTCTACTGCTTCTAAGGAGAATGTAGAATTATCTAGATAGAGAGAGAAGAGAGAGCCTCATAACATACATAGAGCATTTTATACCAAGTTGGGATACAGGAAACTCCCAGATGGAATGCATCTGTAAGGTAAAGAGGACAAGTTGCACAAACAGAAAAAACTCATCCTGGTGAGATAACAGAGGGGTCAGACGCTTGCTCTGTAGGCAGGCTACTAGTTGGAGTCTTCTATACTGCATGGTCCTGGTTCCATTCACCACTTGGTCCCCTCACCCTAGAAGCAGGAGGAGCCCCATCCAGGCACCACTGAGTACCCCAAACTCCACTAAATGGGATTGAATCCAAGAAGTTTGCAGTAAAATGAAGAAGTTGCAGGCCAAGAGATAGTACACTTCCTTTGCACAAAATTAAACAAGCATCCCTGTCCAGGTTGAATCCCCATACAGCATAAGGTTATTGGAGTACTGCCAGAGTGATCCCTGAGTATAGAGCCAGGAGTAGCCCTAAGCACCACCAGGGGTGGCCCAATATGCCCTCAAATAAATAATAAATAAAGATCCGCACCCATGGGGCTGGAGCGATAGCACAGCAGGTAGGGCGTTTGCCTTGCATGCGCTGACCCGGGTTGATTCCCAGCATCCCATATGATCCCCTGAGCACTGCCAGGAGTAATTTCTGAGTGCAGAGTCAGGAGTAACACCTGAGCATCGCCGGGTGTGACCCACCCAAAAAAAATTACAGTAAAACTATCAACAACTATCAAAGTGGCAATCACTGGGCTACAAGGACATGATATAGAGTATATTCAGCTCTCAGATTTCTTCCCTGATCCAAAAATATCCAGAGGAGGGGCTGGAGCGATAGCACAGTGGGTAGGGCGTTTGCCTTGCATGCGACCAACCCGGGTTCGATTCCCAGCATCCCATATGGTCCCCTGAGCACTGCCAGGGGTAATTCTTGAGCGCAGAGCCAGGAGGAACCCCTGTGCATTTGCTGGGTGTGACCCAAAAAGCAATATATATATATATATATATATATATATATATATATATCTCCAGAGGAGTTTTTTGGGTCACACCCAACAATGCTCAGGTGTTTCTCCTGGTTCTGCACTCAGGAATTACTCCTGGAGGTGCTCAGGGGACTGTATGGGATGCCAGGGATCAAATCAGGGTCGGCCGGGTACAAAGCAAGGCAAACATCCAACCCACTGTTGAGAAGAGTTTAAAGTGTCCAACACATGCACTTTTCCCCCTTCCCCCAGTCCAGCAACATGTTCTGCCTCCATTTCTCCTTTACTCTCTCCACCAAACCTCTAAAGCAAACTTGCCAAACTTGCTGACTCCTAATTTTCCTTTTATTAATTTTTGCATCTACCTGGCCATGCTCAGGGGTGTAAAGTTACTCCTGGCTCAGGAATTGTTTCTGGTGGTGCTCAGGGGATCATATGGCATGCCGAGAATTCAACCCAGGTTGTATGGATGCAAGGCAAACACCCTGCCACTGTACTGCTGCTCTGATCTGACCCCTAATCTTCCATCTGAAAGGACAATTTTCATATCCCCAGCGCTGGCTACACGTGAGTTGACTTGCTGATCAACTGACCTCT